CCACAAAACAATAAGGAAAATTAAAAACTCAAGCTCATACATGGAACATACAACAAAAACATTATAAAGATTAAAAATTTGGAACAACCATTAACAATACTATCAAAAAACAAGCAAACCCCATGAAATTAATCATTCTTAAACACTCCTACAAACAAAACACACACACAGACACAATAAAGGGCAGCCCCGTGCACTAACTTCCGCTATGGTCCGGAAAAGGGCGGACCACAACTTACCTGCATTTCTGCAAGGAGGCTGTTTCCACGGCTCAAACCCGTGACCTGGTCAAGAGGCTATTTTCACAGCTCGAACCCGTTACTGGTCAAGAGGCTATTTACACGGCTCGAACTCATGACCTCAGGAAGCAATAATTTTACCATTTACGCCAAGGCTCCCCTTCCCAAAACCAATGCGCGCACACACAATGATGTAAATAAATAAGAGAAGAATATGACCAAGAAAAAAAGGAATTTAACATACCACATAATATTAACACAGAGGTGAGCTCTAAGCTCAACAAAAAGATCAACCATTTGTCCCAAATCAGCAGCATTTCCATGAGAATAAAGAAGAGTAAATCTCCCATTTGGGTGTTTCCAAAAAGTGGCTACAATTTTATTACCACCTTTTGTATCCAATAAATGAACATTCACATTCTTATCAGCTGTTATTCCACTAAAACAAAGCCTACTACTTTCTTCTTCATCTTTAAATACTTCATATGTTGGTGGGTCTGGTGGAAAAAATGCAAATTTTGCAGCTACACTTGCTGTTACATTCCCCATTATCAAAAACCCAACAACCTAAATTTGACAATAAAATCATTCAATAAAAATTTAGGCCATGAATTCGGCAAAAGCATCAATCTTTAAGCCATGAATTTGGCAAAAGCATCAATCTTTTTTGCAAGAAAATATGGGAGAGAAAGTTCTTGGTCTATTTTTTTGTATATATAAAATTTTTTTTTTTTTTTTTTTTTTTTTTTTTTTTGGGTTTTGTTTTGTTGTTGTTTTTGAGTGGTTTGTTGAGAAAGATCCGATCTAAGCGGGGTGTGGTGTGTGTATTGGGGAAACAAAGAATTAAAAGAAGCAAAGAGAACTGGTGCATGTTGGTTTTTTCAGATGATCTGTAAAATGCCCACTGTTTATTTTTTTATTTCTTATTTTTTTGGTTGGTAGTATTATTTTTATTTATTAATTTATTACACTCTTTTTTTCTAATAATATTTTTTCTTTTTTGATTCATCATTTATGGGCGCCCATTATCTATGACTTGGTGAAAAGTCAAGTTTAGCCTTCAAGAATTGTTTTATGCTTAAAAAAAAGAGAGAGATTTGCATTAAGATTTTTTTTTACACAATTGGTTCAGTTTAATCTATTATAGTAGGTTATTTTTTATTTTCAATATGTTATCAAGTAATGCTTATCATAAAGATTTACCTGCAATTAAATTATAAGTGACTTGATTTGTAAATTATTCACATAACTTAAACTAAGAACATATTATTTCCTCCGATCCATTTTAATTAATTTTTTGGCCTTTTTTTGTGGTCCATAATATTTAATTTTTTTCAGATATCAAGAAATAAATAACTTCTTTTTTTCAAAGTTGCCCTTAGATTAAAGAGTCTCGGAGAATCTATTATATTTTCAAGAAACAAATTAACGAAATAGTAAAAGTTAATATGGTTAATTTTATTATTAATTAATATTAAAAGGTAAATTCTTTAATATGTGTGAAAATAGCCAAAAAATCAATTAAAGTGAATTAGAAGGAGTAAGAATAGTTGTATCATTGAATTAGGGTGAGAAAATATAGTTAGTTGTGGAATTGCCAAGTGTTAGATGAAGTTAATTATTTACTAAAGAAGCATGCAATTCATGATCACACAAATTATATTTTTTATAATTAATGATAAAAGTATGTGTCAACTAAAGTTTACCTAAATATATTAGACAATAATTGGTAGTTGAAGATTTTGGATAAAAAATTCAATCATCATAACTTATATAAATGGAAGATGTACTTGAACTTTATTTAACTCATAGCTACTATTTTAGATAGAGTCAATGGGCACAACAACAATTTAGTTTAGAAAAAAAAAAACATCATAAAATTACCTTGTTTGCGTACAAAATTTTAAAAAAAATGAATACAACGCTAATTTATTATATGATTTTAGTAGTTTAATAAAATCCTATATCGATGATCACACGAATCTGATATAACCCATGAAAAAAATAATTAAACACCGTTGTGCTTTTAATATTTGTAGATATTATGAGGCATTAGCTAGTGAAATTTCTACTTCTATTTTAAGTAGTTTTCTTTCAAATTTATTTAGAATTATAGACATAGAATATACTAATAATTACAGGGAAAAAGAAAATTCTAACTAGTTTTTAGCTAAACCATGATTAATCCAACGAGGACAATAGTGACTTTGGTGTGAAAATTGGTTCATAAAAGAAAAAAAAAACATGAGAACCTCGAGAAAATTACTATTACTACTAGTTACATTAAAAAGATTTGGGCAAGAAAGAGAAAATAGAGGCAACTTGATGCACAAAATATTCCGTGTTCATGCAAGTTTCGGAGAAGGATCGCATCTCAAAGGTTCTGATGTAGACAACTTACCTTAATACAAGTATTAGTGGCTGCTTTTACGGCTCAAACTATTAGTGTCTGCTTCAACGGCTCAAACTCGTAATATATAGGTTATACGGAGAGGAAAAAAATAGTTAAAAGAAAATAAAGGTTAAGAAAAAATGATGGTAAGATTCGGTCAAAGGCTGCTATGGAGATCTAAACAATTTAACGAAGTTTTATTTTTCAGATTGGTGTGTCAGAGAGACAATGTCAGATTCAAACATTCTTTCATTGTCTTGTTTTTTTTTGGCCAAACTTTGAACCTTCCTTTATTGGATCTTATATTGTTACAAAGTTTGTCCTTAAATTCTTATATTATATATTTGTAATAATTTTCTTTTGTTTGATGCTCTACGTTTAGTGCTATAGTAGTTACAAGTAATACATAACATTTGGTCCGACTAATTCGGAATCACGCCGGAAAATTATAACTTGAAATAATAAATGCTTTCTATTAAAGGCGATTATTTACCAATAGGTTAAATTCGAGACTTTTAATTAACGATTGAGGAGCATTTTGTACTATTCCTTTACAACTTTAGTGGCACAAGTTCTTATTGCTTCCTCCGTTTATCTTTACTTGTCCATGTTTGACTTGGCATACCCCTTAAGAAAATAATTAATAAAATAATAATTTTACTATATCACCCCTAATTATAATACGCTAGGAAACGAATTGTAAATGATTTGTTGTACTTAATAATAATAATGATAAAATATATATAAAATAAGTAAATTATGTCTCGGGTTTTCAAACTGGACAAATAAAAGTGAATAATATTTTTTCAATATAATGGACAAGTAAGTTTGTCTACTATTTTTAATTTATTTTATCAAATTTTCTTAATCAGGAAAGTTAAATATTTCTTTATATGACCTTACATTTTTTATCAGGCAATGATCTGTAAATTATCACATTTACTCTCTATCAGAAATTCAATAAATGTTCGAGGAAATGTGGAATTTTTTTTCTACATACTAATTAATACTTTTTCTTTTTAAACATCATTAAGAGAGTAACTCACTAGATTGATTAAACAAATAATGACTAAAAAGGTAGTACAAATAATTATGATAAGGATTAAAGTAATTATAGTCAACTTGTTATTATGAGAAATAAGACATAGTCATAAAAGACTATAAAGTCTACATGCATGTGATTAGTATGCTAATAACAGTAGAAAGAAAATTAAAAGCAAAAAGGATAAGACATTTGCATGAGGAAATTACGTAGGAATTAATAAATATAAGAGAATTATTGTGCTTTGAATTAAATTTTCTCGGACCACAAATTAAAGCCGTGAGGGGTCCCCAACAAAGCCAATATGGCTATCTAGCTACTAGCTCTTAGATTTTGGTCCTCTTTCATTTAAAGAGCAACTTGGACTCAAATCTTTAATTTTTTTTAGTTTCCTATTCTGTGCATCCGTATTAGAGCCCGATTAAATTCAACATCGGGAAGTCTCACATTGGAGGAGGGTGTGGGTGTGGGGGGAGCGAAGCGCTCGCTAACAAAGACGACTCCATACCCATGACTTGAATATGAAATCTTTGATTAAGGATGAAATAGTACTTACTACCGGACCACAATCCTTACTAGTTAAGCAAATACCATTAAAGTTTCTAAGTAATAATTAGTCATAGAAGAATTCAATCATTTAGCCCTACTTACCTAATCATTCATTATGAATGAATGAATTCAATCTAGCTCTATATAGCCTTGTTGGAAGGAATTAATAATGTTATTTGGAGTTGGAATTGTAATATTAAAACACAAAAATCAGCTATAAAATTCGTCATTAATATATCAATAAATAGTCCCGTAACTAACTAATATGATTTTGATAATCTGTTGGTAAACGAAGGAAAATATTTTATTATAAATTCAGATTGATCTCTACAACTATCTTTATTTTCTCTACACATAAAATAAGCTATCAATATCCCTATTTATAATAGTATGAAACCTATTTTAACTAGAAACAGGAAAGTCTATTCTTATATTTATGTTAACTGCAAATCATATTTAGACATGAATTAAATAAATTAAATCCTAAATAACTATGGTTTCTTACTACAACTTTGAATTAGTTTTCCAACATTCTTCCGTAATTCAAAGTTGTATATGTTTGACTTGTTCGTTGTGCAGTTATGATGGAGCACTTCTCTCCAACTTTCACTTTTGATGAAGCACATGTCTTCATCCCTAAATTTGTTGAAGCGCTTGTCTTCAACTCACGTTGATGCACTTTATCACCAATCGTTGATGCACTTTGTCACCAACACCCAATTTTATTGAAGCACTTATCTCCAACTCCCGTCGATGCACTTTGTCACCAAGCGTTAATGTACTTTGTCACCAACAGTAAATAGGATTAGCAACAACAGATTTTTGCAGTTTGTCGATATAATTTGTCCGTCGTCAACTCCTTTTTGTAATGTTATTTTCCTGGAAAAGTAAAGTACAAAAACTTTAGCGGGTAGTACAATACCACTTAATGCATTTGTTATCTCGCATGAGAGGGCTGATTAGTTTGGGAATATATGTTTTAATCATATTAATACATTTACTTTAGGTCTTATATTTTTAGCCATCTTTTAATCATGTCAGAAATTTATATATCAATAAAAAATATAGAGAATTTCCAATAATTTTTATTTTTATTATTGTTTGATATTAGCCCGTGATGAGCTTAAATATTATATGTCATACAGATTCATATAATTACCTTAATTTAGAATTGAGACATAATAGTTGTTATCATCTCAACTCCCAAAAGAAGCTAAGCAAATGACAATTGATCTAGTGATATCACCTTCATGAATTCACACAATGTTAAAGTTAAAAATTTCCCAAGGGTAAAAAAATTGAAAAAAATTTCCCGACAATAGAATATTAAATATATATTATATACCTCTAAAATTTAAAATTTTACCTATATAT